TCAACCAATTCTATGGCTCAGCTAGGAAATACTATCCCGTGCACATAATCAATATTGCCTGCTGAAAATGTACAAATTAAACAATGGGCAATGCACTCATTGTACTGCTCTTTAGCAGTAAGCAAAATTAAACAGAAATCTAGCAATTACAAAGCAATAAAAACAGTATACTGCTCTCTATTGATAAGCAATAGAAATATTATAATTTCCGCTATTAACTTTCAATGATGATATAAATGATGATATATGTATGTGATGTCCTTTATCAAAATAACTCAACAATATACTTAACCCACCACTCAGTGATGAGGAGTAATATGTTATTTCTTCTAAGCAATGCATTATAACATACAAATTAGATTACCCATATTATACTGCCACTTACATGAACATAAGCACATTATACCAACCCCTATCAATTAAAGCGGGAGGGTCATCACCTGCGCATATGCTGGAATTGAGTCCCAAGCAACGATAACTACGCACCCTAAAAACGCAAAGGCTCATGGGTAGACGCTTGTTTGTAAACAATTACACACTATGGCCATCTGACACATGCACAGGTGACAACTCCCCAGCTTTAATATTGTACTCGTTAGACTGCCCTCTATCCAAAAAACAGACATGACAGATAAAGGATTACATGGAATATAATAACTCTTCCACATATCAGTTTAATGATTCCCAACTCCCACAATTTGAGACAAGATATCACGATAATACTTGACATTGACACAAATTGACTGTATATACATAAGAAATTTAATAACATTGGCACTGAGAAATTAATTAATTATTATTGTATAGTAGAAATAAAGAACTTTGTTTAATTTCAATAATTTTAATAGTTTTGAATTAACATTGAATTGCAATCATATTTCTTAAAATTAAATACTGTAGAAAATTTATGCAGCTGTATACTGACAATATCCAATCAGATGGCCCGTTACAGAATTGAATTCTTATTATAACAAAAGTCACCACTGGTTGAGAGAAATATATCATTAGGCAGTATCTGATTCAATCTTTAGACTGTATATGTATGATTTGGTATTAAAATATTGCTATGTCAGAATTCATAGCACAGCAGTACAGACTGGTGAGACTAAATATTACATTGTCTGAATTAAATGAATTAACCTTTTCACCAATAGACTTTTTGTCAAAATGTTCTGCACTTTTTTCTTATATTCTTCAATATTTCTGGAAATTAACCTTAATTTCGGAGATAAAATTTGAATCAATTTTCAGTTTTTACTCAAAAAATTTGGCTATTTTTTGTCCCAATCCTCTGAAGGAAAGTGAAGACGATAAACAAGACTATTTTGTGAATTTGTGATGAAAAGAGGGAACTGGTGATGAAAAGAGGGAACTGGTGATGAAAAGAGGGAACTGGTGGTGAAAAGGATAAGCAAATGAAATATATCCGAGATTGGGCAACAGATTTGAGCAAAATGATCGTTCAAAAATATATCATTCATATTAATAACATGTAATAGATGGTCAAATCCTACACATTATTATAATTAGCAACAACAATTATAATAATTTTGGAAACAGTTTTCTGTTATTTTCAAAAAAATATCTGGAGGCAAATGACAAATACATTGTACAATAAGTGTTATCTCTTGTAAGCATAATTTACAGTATAGTCTGAGATTAACTTTAATGCAGCTAGATTTAAGATGGCTTAAATCTAATTTTAAGCTTGCTTTCAAAACCGCCACAGTTCTCTAAATTGTACAAAGAAATCTGCCGAAATATGTCCCATACTAGTCACATGGTACAGACTACAATGAATAAGTTGGAATTAGTGATGCCATGATACTCACTTTAAAAATTATATTTTTATAAGACAAAGCTAGCTGATAGCCAGATAGGAAGTTAAGTTATGCCCAGACTGTAATCCAGCTTTGTCTTGATCATGAAATTTAATTCCCTAATAAGATTAGTTAATATTACATAAAATATTCTAAGAAGGTTCCTTAACATTGGCATTTTCCGTCTTCTCTTGCTTCATCCAAGTCCATGATTTTGAAAACCATGTGGGAACTGACTTTGTTCTATGTGAATTATGATGTTGTCCGAATACATTACATGAAATATTCTAAGAATGTTGCTTAACATACGCATTTTCCATCTTTGGCGCCTTCATCAAATTCCATTGGTGATCCAAGTCTATGACTTTTAAAACCATGCAGGAAGTGATTTTTATCAACAACTTTTTCCATTTGAAACATTACATCGTCTAGAAAATATTACATGAAATATTCCAAGAATGTTTCTTAACATTGGCATTTTCCGTCTTCTCCTGCTTCATCTAATTCCATTGGAGATCCAAGTCTATGATTTTGAAAACTGTGTGGGAACTGACTTATATCAACACTTTGTTCCATTCGAATCATAACGTTGTCAAGTAAACATTCCACCGCTTTACTCACATTGCTACCACTCGCTGCACTTGTCTCAAAGTATGGAAGACTGCAAATAAAAAAATATTGAACAAAATTCTGTTTTGGGAAAACAAGTTTTGTTATTTTGAGTGAATAAACTCTTTGCAATGTAATCTGTGCTAGTAATGTTCCATATTTTGAGGAAGATATTATTATTAAAAAAACATTTGAGGGACAGTGCAAAGAACTTTATATAACATGAATCCAAAAGAAATCATTTATGTGATAACAAGACCATAAAAACAAAAGAGCACTGTGAAGAATACTGCAAAAAAAAATAACCACGAAGGCCACAAAAGAGAGCAATAAATTTAACATTAGAAGGCACTATTCAAAAGGTAGTAGCAATATAAACACGAGAGGTAATTATTCAAAAAGTAGCAGTAGAATAAACACAAGAGGGCATTATTTAAAGGTAGTAATAAAATAAACACTAGAGGTCATTATTCAAAAAGTAGCAGTAGAATAAACACAAGAAGGCACTATTCAAATGGTAGTAATAAAATAAACACAAGAGGTCATTATTCAAAAAGTAGCAGTAGAATAAACACAAGAAGGCACTATTCAAAAAGTAGCCGTAGAATAAACACAAGAAGGCACTATTCAAAAGGTAGTAATAAAACAAACACTAGAGGGCACTATTCAAAAGTAGCAGTAGAATAAACACAAGAGGGCACTATTCATAGGTAGTAATAAAATAAACACTAGAGGTCATTATTCATAAAGTAGCAATAGAATAAACACAAGAAGGCACTATTCAAAAGGTAGTAATAAAACAAACACTAGAGGGCACTATTCAAAAGGTAGCAATAAAATAAACACTAGAGGGCACTATACACTTTACAGGGAATAATACAATTAACATCAGAGAGCACTGTATGAATGTTTACACAACTCTAGAGGGCACTGTTCAGAAGATTTTATGACATTAAAAATAGATGGTAGCACAGCTTACCCATATTTTCCTGCCAGTTCTCTTGCTTTGTCTTCAGATACAACTCTCTGATCTTCTAAATCAGTCTTATTTCCACAGAGTACAATATCAGGATTTTCACAGTAAGCGTGCATCTGTAGTTGAGCTATCCAGTTTCGTATATTGACAAATGACTGTTCACTTGTCAGATCAAACAGAAGAATAAATCCCATTGCATCTCGAAAAAATGCTGTGGTTAAACTACGGAACCTGAAAATGACAAAATTAAAGTCAAACATGGAATATGGTTTAAGACGAATCGTTAATCAATTGAGTGGATAATTCTTCCCGACAAAATTTTAGGTCAATATTTTGCTTACTGTGAAGGGGTTAATTATTCAGTGGGTTTTAATTTTGTTATTGTTGACTGAAAAATGCGCTAAATTAAATTTAAATTCAAAACCCACTAATTATGCCTGAAATGCTAAATCAGTGAAATTTAAACCCAGTGAAAATTAGTCATTTTACAGTAATTTTAGGTATTTCATAGTAATTGTTTCGATTAAATAGACATAATTTTTTAATAACTACGGTCTTTATCAAAATTATGGATGGCGGGTGCTCAGATAGATATTGACACACAACCAATTATATGTTCCAACAGTTCCTACTTTTCATCACAAATTCACAATAGTCTCGTTTATAGTCTGCACTTTACTTTAGAAGTTTGAGACAAAAATAGCCAAATTATGTTGATTTCATTTCTAGAAATATTGAAAAATACCAAAAAAAATGTGCCAACAAATATGGACGAGAAAGTCTGATGGTAAAAAAGTTAATGAGCAATACTGAATAGCGCCCTCTATCAGATTATACCACCCTCTAGAGTCAGAATTATGAACTGGATTTATGAATCGCGTTAGACAGAATGATCAATGGCGCCCTCTACAGTACAAGCCTGCACATTATGCAATGTAAAACTTGTGATGGTAACCCAATAATACACACTGAGCAATACTGTATAGTCTAAGAGTAACCTAACAATAGCTGGCTTTATGCTGGTTTACCTTGCTTTCAAAACTTCACAGCCAAAGAAAAAATTGATAGTCAACCTATTTGGCAATTGACCACCAGAATGTAACTGAATGTGGCTAACAGAAAATGTTGTTAACCATGGTTGCAAAAATAGAGAGACAAAAAGAGCTGTGTTGAGTGTGTCACACACATACCAACAGGCAATATGCATGACCTCAAAAGGTCAAACATCCTGGTACTTTCAGGGGTATTGGAGCCCTATAATAGCAAATGTTTCTACTATATACATATGGCACACAAAAAAGTATAATTTGCATTTGTTTAAATTTTATTTGCACACATTTAAAGTTAGAATTTTCCCTTATTTGGGATAAACATTAGAAATGTTCCATATTACAGACGTCAGTCATATGTAGTGAATTTTGAGGGAATGTGACAAAATAGAGTATTATCACTTAAGCCAAATGTTTGTACAGTGCAAAACATTTTCATTTCAATTTTGGGCTAATATTTCTCATGCAACTATTTTTACGAGCAGAACAAAACATGTGTATAAGTAAGGGTAACACAAGGATACAAAAAAGTATGCACTCAGGCGGTACAGGATTGCATTGATCTAAGCTATGCATCAGTCAATACACATATAAGTATTTTTGGGCATACTGAACAATATTCTAAATAACCTCATTATTAACATTTTTTTCTTTAATTGTTTTGGAACTTCAATGACAATATAAATGTATGGGAATAGGTTATCAAGAAAATATCAGTAAATTTGTATGCCTAGAAGATATCATGATGTGTTACCATTTCAAATCATGCAAAGTACCATGATGTGTGACTTTTTTGTGGTCATGA